TCGCTTATGCAAATGAAGCCCGGGAAATTCAAATCCCGGGCTTCATTTGCAAGTGCGGTATGCCTACATTACCCTCCTAGTTCGAACGAGGTGGGTAGTGTAGACATACCCAGAGGGTGGAGATGGATGGCAGGAGAGAGATCACTTGATCAGTACCTGTTCGATTCACTCCCTCTGGGACACCTGGAATTGGCCACTGTGGGCAGACAGGGTACAGAGCAGGATGGACCTTTGGTCTGACCCAGTCTGGCAGTTCTTATGTTATGTACATCTCCTGGCTGATGTTCAACCTCAACCTCAGGCTTATTCAGACACGCTCTGTAATTTTTTTTGTTTTGGACTATGACTTTGAAACAAAACACATTTTTAAGTACAATTGAGTAATCTCATGGCTGCTTCTTCTGGATAGAGAGTACTCTTATTAAGTTTGCAGATGATACCAAACTGGGTGGGGTTGCAACTTCTTTGGAGGATAGGGACATAATTCAAAATGACCTTAGCAAGTTAGAGAAATGGTCGGAGGTAAACAGGATGAGGTTTAATAAGGAGAAATGCAGAGTGCTCCACTTAGGAAGGAACAATCAGTTCCATACATACAAGATGGGAAGCGACTGTCTAGGAAGGAGCATGGCGGAAAGGGATCTAGGGGTCATAGTGGACCACAAGTTGAATATGAGTCAACAGTGTGATGCTGTTGCCAAAAAAGCAAATATGATTCTAGGTTGTATTAACAGGTGTGTTGTAAGCAAAACTCGTGAAGTCATTCTGCCGCTCTATTCTGCACTAGTTAGGCCTCAGCTGGAGTACTGTGTCCAGTTCTGGGCGCCACATTTCAAGCAAGATGTGGAGAAATTGGAAAGGGTACAGAGAAGAGCGACAAGAATGATTAAAGGTCTAGAGAAGCCTATGAAGCCAGGCTTCATGAACTGGGCTTGTTTAGTTTGGAAAAACGAAGATTAAGGGGGGACATGATAGTGGTTTTCAAATATCTAAAAGGGTGTCACAAGGAGGAAGGAGAAAATTTGTTTCTCTTGGTTTCTGAGGACAGGACAAGGAGTAATGGGCTTAAAGTGCAGCAGGGGAGGTTTAGATTGGACATTAGGAAAAAATTCCTAACTGTCAGGGTGGTCAAATATTGGAATAAATTGCCAAGGGAGGTGGTGGAATCTCCCTCTCTGGAGATATTTAAGAACAGGTTAGATAGACATCTGTCAGGGATGGTGTAGATGGAGCTTGGTCCTGCCTTGAGGGCGGGGGGCTGGACTCGATGACCTCTTGAGGTCCCTTCCAGTCCTATTATTCTATGATTCTATGATTCTCATAGCATTGTTTTCAAATACAGTTCCAGTATCCAAGTGCAGCGGAAAACTGGGGAACTAAGTCTCTTGCAAATTGTGCTAATAATATGTAGATTTGTAATTTCCTCCCTCCTGTGTAATTACCTCTCTCCTGTGCTAAAAGTGTGTTATGCTGAAGTATCTTTGTTGAATACTTCTCCATCTATCAAGGTAATTAGTAATGCTGTATTGAGTCTAAGCAGAGTATTTCCCTATTCACTGCAGGGGTGGGAGGATAACTAAGTCTCTTGCAAATTGTGCTAATAATATGTAGATTTGTAATTTCCTCCCTCCTGTGTAATTACCTCTCTCCTGTGCTAAAAGTGTGTTATGCTGAAGTATCTTTGTTGAATACTTCTCCATCTATCAAGGTAATTAGTAATGCTGTATTGAGTCTAAGCAGAGTATTTCCCTATTCACTGCAGGGGTGGGAGGATGTGTGAGAAGGAGTAAGAAAATAAGTAAAAAAAGATTAGGAGAATCAAGTGGGAGGAAAAAAAGTGGAGTGGGACTAGGTAAAGAAAAAATTGGCCAAATATGGCAAAAAGAAAGGCAGAAATGAAACTGCCAACAAATGCAGCTCTTCTCTTTACATGGAGCATGAGATTACTCATCTGTAATTTCCAGTTGAACATTGTGGTTAGATTCAAATGCTAACATCATTGGATTGAACATTTGTTTTAGAAGAGATTATGTAAGAAATAGAGAAGGGAAGAAAACCAGTACATGAAAATAAACAGTACTAAAGTCAAAACAGTATAAAAGTCCAATTGTTACTGTCCTGTTAATGTTGTCAGATGAAGCATTCATAACCCTAACCCCAGTGAAGATTTCTCTCACATCCTCAGCTCAGCCATGACACATATACTCTGTATTCTATAGTTCTGCAGTTACTGCAACGATGTATGAAAGTTTACATCTACCAACGAAAAGAAGACTACACACTAGTAAATACATGCCATATGCTAATTTTCACACTTCAATGTTTCTCCCACAGTGTATTTTCATGACTTTGAAGTACCATACTTCTAATCATTTTTACAGGCCCTTATTTGCCACATTTAATTTCTCTGGGATTGAATGTTAAAAAGAACAACAAAACAAAACAAAACAAGAAGTGGAGTTAAAAAAAGTCCTAGTGATCTGATGTCATCAACTTCCACATAGAGAGGAACCAGGGAAGGCTGTTGGAAAATACAGGCAGGGATAAACCCATGGACTTGATTGGTAAATTGCTTTCAGTCATCCCATCAAAATGGCCCCTTGCCCTCCTGCTTGCCCTTGGATAAACCAAGGTGGAGCATGGGCTGGTATTGCTAGGAGCCATGTCTCTCATAGTTCCTGAATTTCGTAGAAGGGGGTTTGTGACAGGAATAGCTTGCCTGGCTCTTGGCCTGTTGAGGCTTGAATGTCTTATGAGCTGGGGCAGGGACATAAAAGCCCAACGTTTTCATGGTTGTATGTGAGTCCTTGAGGCTGTGGAGTTTACTATCAGTTTGTTCCATAAACAGGGCCCTCTCATTGAAGGGAAGATCCTGCAGTGAGTTCTGGGACTCAGTGGAGAGGCCAGAGAGGAGTGACCACAATGCTCTGTGCTTAGATACTGCAGGTGCCATAGTTCGGGTGGCCACATCTGCTGCCTTAGCTGTTGTTATGCCCTTGTTGAGGAGTATCGTGAACTGCTTCTTGGTTTCCTGCAGGAAGTTCTCAAACTTGGCCATATTTTGCCAAAGGTTGAACTCCTTCTAGCCCAAGAAGGCCTGGTGGTTCTCTAGCCTCAGTCTGAAGCTGGAGGAAGAATAACCAGACATCTGAAGAAGTGGGCTGTGCCCATGAAAGCTCATGATACCATCTGGGGGTTTTGTTAGTCTATAAAGTGCTACTAGACTATTTGGGTTTTTTCTTCTTCTTTTTTTAACTTTTCCTTAACTCTATCAGTCAGGCTTGCATTGAAGCAAAATGTTTGCTGTTTAGATGCTTTCACACGTAAAGTAAATAAGCCAATGTCTCAGCTCAGTTTAAGGCCAGCAAGTGAGGGTAGAATTCAGCCCATTATCTGCTATGTGTGACATTGGTTAGTTCCTGTAGAGATGGTCTTTGTAAAAAGAAAATGAAACACTGCAGCAAAATGTCTGTAAGCACAAAGTTCCTTGAGTACCCAGGTGGTCCCCATACCTCTGACCATTGCCAGTACCAGGAAGCTAATAGCCTGCATGCTCCATTGCCTGGGAGATACAGGTCTCTCTCCTGTTAACAAGACATTAATTGGCAAAATGAGCTTGGGGCATCACACTCTGCCTGGGTAGCAGAACCCAGACTGTAAGAAAAAGGTGGCCCTGTTTTCTGTAAATTCCTCTCCCTCTGGCTCAGCCCAGGCTTTCGCAACCAATCCACATGGGAGGTGTGTCAGATAAAAGCGTCCACATCGCTCCAGCTAACCACCTATGCCCGCCTCAATTCAAGCACAGCTGCAAAGAAGTTATAGTGACACGAAATGTAGGCTGAATGGAAGCCCAGGGGCACACAGAGCTTTCCCGGTGGAGAATCGCAGTAATCATCCCCAGGCTGAGTTGCTGGGATCTGGAGACCTTTGGGAGCCAGGCAAACGCGTGCTTAGCACTTGACCATCCTCACAGGTAAGGGGATTTACAACAGTTACACGTCACTGGCTGGGATCAATGACATTACCCATGTTTTGCCTTATTCCTAGGGTTACGCTAACGCCCTAATTAGTAAGTGCTGAGGCTCTGGCGGTGTCCCGGAGAGAGAACAAAACATTTACAGCGACCTCGCCCGTCACTTGTCAGGAGGAGGGAAGCTGGTACCTCCAAAGCTTGGCTCTGCCAGTAGGACACTGCTCTCATGCCCAGGGATTGCCTAGTCCCCCAGGGGGGCGCAGATAGGAGCAGGCGTATGTTGCCCCTCTTTTGCTCCCTTTGAAGTGTCTTCAG